GATGCAGTTATACACGACAATTGTACGATGGGACAGTGATAAGAAACTAGCATATAATACAACTGCCAAATAAAAAGAAGTTATATACGCCGTGTTAAAAAAGGCTTTGGGTAACCGTATTCTATCTAAATGTGTTGTGAAGTACTTAAAAGTGGTTTCTACGACAGTGCCCATCTTTCACATATTTCCAAAGATGCACAAAATGTATGAAGTGGGCCATCCAACCATAGAGACATTGGATCATTAGATGAAGTCTTATCATGTTTGATCTATTTGCAACCCATGGTAAAAAAAATTGGCATTATACATACATGATTAAAATTATGTTTTGAGATAGATGGAAATATTAACATGGCCCAATTCCTGTGCTTAGTTGACAATTGATGTGGTGTCTCTCTATGTTAGAATCCCTACATGCCATTAAATATCTTTTTAGAAAACATAACAATTACAATCATAATTTGATTGATTTTATTTCTTCTTTGACTCGGCCTTCTACCTGTAGAGGCACTGTTATGGGAGCTAAATTTGCTCCCTCCAATATGACCCTGTATATGGATTAGTGGGAAAAGTCCTACATCTTTGCAGGTAGTATAGCAGAGTAATTTATAGACAATATTCTGTTTGTGTGGGAGGGTGATTTGGAAAAGTAAAACAGATTAGTAAATGAAGTGAAGCTGAATAATTTAAATCTATAATTCACCACTAGTGGATAAAATATAATTTCCTGATTTGGAACTTGATCATTGTAATGCACCAATAAGTTCTAGGTTGTACCGCAAACCTTGTAGTGAAAATATTATAATACATGTGGCATCCCAATTGTGGAAATCCCAACTGGACAATTTATGAATATTTGGAGGAATTTCAGTCTATTTAAGGATTTCATTAGGAAACTAAGTGCTAGGCTCTTGAAGCATGCATACAAGATAGTCCACCTTTGTGATGCCTTTAGTCAAATTATTCTTAGATATCTTTGAAAGTCAAATACAGCAAAATATATTATATACGTAACAAGGTGTACACCACAAAACTGGTGAAATTAACAAAAAAATAGTTTACTCTTTTATCAAGCAAGATAGATTGTAAAAAAGATGCCTCTTATCTTTTGGAAATATGTTTATTCAGTTAATTGGAGAATCAGCAGTTAGAACAGTTTGAAGACTCGCAGGTCTAGGTATGCATACATTATAAGTGTAACAGGGGTAGGAAAAACTGGTAATCCATGAAAAAGAAAGATAGGGAAAGAGAAGAAGAGAAAAAAAAATATTAAATAAATCCGCCACATACCAAGCTTGCAGGCCTATGAATCTGCTTGTTTTACGAAATGAGTGGACACGCAGGTCCGTATTGACTTTCCGAGGTGTATATCTAGTTACTCTTACCCCATAGTGAGAGATAAGCATATCCAATTCTTGTTTGACAGTACAGTTCTAAGTGTAACAATTAAAGACGGGAGCTTTGTTTCAGTTATAACTGGTATTCATTGTTCGGAACACTGGTATTCCCTTGATTGTTACCTATGGCTGAGCTCGTGTAGCGTTCGGGAGTCCCTTTGCCCAGTTGTGGTTGCCAGGTACTCGTGTCTGGCCCCGGTGTGGTACTTATCATGGTGCTATTTAGCCTGAGTGTTACCCTAGTGCGTGAGAAAGATATGTTTGGCGGCTATCCAGTGTTTTAT